TGCTCCAATCACATACACCAATTCAACTCACCCACACGGTACTGCTCCGATCACAGACACTAATTCCACTCACAGGCACCACCCACATGGTCCTGCTCCAGTCACAGACACTAATTCCACTCACCCACATGGTACTGCTACGATCACAGACACTCATTCCACTCACCCACATGGTCCTGCTCCAGTCCCAGACACTAATTCCACTCACCTACATGGTACTGCTCCGATCACAGACGCTAATTCCACTCACCCACATGGTACTGCTCCAGTCCCAGACACTAATTCCACTTACCCACATGGTCCTGCTCCTATCCCAGACACTAGGTGAGAGTTCTTTATTTCTGAACTGTAGGCCAGAGGCCCATAGTACAAGTTCAAAACAGTTACAATGGGTGTGTGGTACAAGTGCGTTTGCGTTTTAACAGTGCATGGCGTATAAACGTAGCAATATTCTGAAGTAGCTGTACATTTTCTGTTGACATTAGTATGCTGAATTTGTAAAATGTGGGACAGGACGTGTACTTAGATGGTATATAATACCTTCTTAGGTCTTCATACTGTGGACAGATGAGAAGGACATGGTATTCATCTTCAGTAATATCACTGTCACACATGTTGCAGGATTGGCTCTCAGTAACATGACATATTCTTTTAAAATACATTAAATCATAGAAGCCACATCGAAACTGAGATAACGATACTCTTAATTTCCTTATACTTACGTCTGTTAAATACTTTTCAGACATAAAATGTTGTTTAAACAATGAATACGAATAATAACATTTTCCAGTTTGAATATTTCTGGTCCACTCTTGCTGGAAGCAATCCTTACATCGTTGTTGAACAATGGGTAAAAAGCTGTAAAAAGCTGCATCCCCAACTACCCTGCATATCCAAGACCAAGTTGGAACAATGTCTTTTTGATTAACATAGCCCAGTAGTGCTTATTTCTAGCATCGCTAGCATTTTCAACCAGATACAGTAGCATCTTATAGGCTTTTAAGGGGTAGCGGTGAGGACGCATTGAGATGACTTTCAACCAATATAAGATAGAACGTTTCAGTACCAAGATATAGATTGGGTATCTTCCGCATTCATCTAATACAATATCGCTGGATGTTGATCTGCGGATGCCCACAAAACGTTTACAAGCTTGCAATTGAATTTTTTCAATGTTTTTAAATCTTTGAACACCCCACACCTCAGAACCATATAATAGAATAGGCAGGATTTTAGTGTCAAAGATTTTACAATATAGTTCATATGAGAGATTTTCAAACTTAAACAAGCTACGTTGAACAGTTATAAGAGTCCCAGACACTAATTCCACTCACCCACATGGTCCTGCTCCAGTCCCAGACACTAATTCCACTCACCCACATGGTACTGCTCCGATCACAGACACTAATTCCACTCACCCACACGGTACTGTTCCAATCACAGACACTAATTCCATTCACCCACATGGTACTGCTCCGATCACAGACACTAATTCCACTCATCCACATTGTACTGCTCCAGTCCCTGACACTAATTCCAATCACCCACATAGTACTACTCTGATCACAGACACTAATTCCAATCACCCACATGGTCCTGCTCCAGTCACAGACACTAATTCCACTCATCCACATGGTCCTGCTCCAGTCCCAGACACTAATTCCACTCACCCACATGGTCCTGCTCCGATCACAGACACTAATTCCACTCACCCACATGGTCCTGCTGCTCCAATCACAGACACATTTGACACTACTCACCCACACGGTACTGCTCCAGATCACAGACACTAATTCCACTCACCCACATGGTCCTGCCCCGATCACAGACACTAATTCCACTCACCCACATGGTCCTGCTCCCATCACAGACACTAATTCCACTCACCCACACGGTACTGCTCCGATCACAGACACTAATTCCACTCACCCACATGGTCCTGCTCCAATCACAGACACTAATTCCACTCATCCACATGGTACCTGCTCCGATCACAGACACTAATTCCACTCACCCACATGGTCCTGCCCCGATCACAGACACTAATTCCACTCACCCACATGGTCCTGCTCCAGTCACTGACACTAATTCCACTCACCCACTTGGTCCTGCTCCAGTCCCTGACACTAATTCCACTCACCCACATGGTCCTGCTCCAGTCACAGACACTAATTCCACTCACCCACATGGTCCTGCTCCAGTCACAGACACTAATTCCACTCACCCACATGGTCCTGCTCCAATCACAGACACTAATTCCACTCACCCACACGGTACTGCTCCGATCACAGACACTAATTCCATTCACCCACATGGCACTGCCCCGATCACAGACACTAATTCCACTCATCCACATGGTCCTGCTCCAATCACAGACAGACACACCCACATTCACAGACACTAATTCCACTCCACATGGTCCTGCTCCAATCACAGACACTAATTCCACTCACCCACATGGTCCTGCTCCAATCACAGACACTATTTCCACTCACCCACACGGTACTGCTCTGATCACAGACACTAATTCCACTCACCCACTTGGTCCTGTTTCAGTCCCTGACACTAATTCCACTCACCCACATGGTCCTGCTCCAATCACAGACACTCATTTCACTCACCCACATGGTCCTGCTCCAATCACAGACACTAATTCCACTCACCCACACGGTACTGCTCTGATCACAGACACTAATTCCACTCACCCACATGGTCCTGCTCCAGTCCCAGACACTAATTCCACTCACCCACATGGTCCTGCTCCGTTCACAGACACTAATTCCACTCACCCACATGGTCCTGCTCCAGTCACAGACACTAATTCCACTCACCCACATGGTCCTGCTCCGATCACAGACACTAATTCCACTCACCCACATGGTCCTGCTCCGATCACAGACACTAATTCCACTCACCCACATGGTCCTGCTCCAATCACAGACACTAATTCCACTCACCCACATGGTACTGCTCCGATCACAGACACTAATTCCACTCACCCACATGGTCCTGCTCCAGTCACAGACACTAATTCCACTCACCCACATGGTCCTGCTCCAATCACAGACACTAATTCCACTCACCCACACGGTACTGCTCCGATCACAGACACTAATTCCACTCACCCACATGGTACTGCTCCGATCACAGACACTAATTCCACTCACCCACATGGTCCTGCTCCAATCACAGACACTAATTCCACTCACCCACATGGTCCTGCTCCAATCACAGACACTAATTCCACTCACCCACACGGTACTGCTCTGATCACAGACACTAATTCCACTCACCCACATGGTCCTGCTCCGATCACAGACACTAATTCCACTCACCCACATGGTCCTGCTCCAGTCCCAGACACTAATTCCACTCACCCACATGGTCATGCTCCGATCACAGACACTCATTTCACTCACCCACATGGTACTGCTCCAGATCACAGACACTAATTCCACTCACCCACATGGTCCTGCTCCTGTCACAGACACTAATTCCACTCACCCACATGGTCCTGCTCCAGATCACAGACACTAATTCCACTCACCCACATGGTCCTGCTCCGATCACAGACACTAATTCCACTCACCCACATGGTCCTGCTCCAATCACAGACACTAATTCCACTCACCCACACGGTACTGCTCCGATCACAGACACTAATTCCACTCACCCACATAGTCCTGCCCCGATCACAGACACTAATTCCACTCACCCACATGGTCCTGCTTCCATCACAGACACTAATTCCACTCACCCACACGGTACTGCTCTGATCACAGACACTAATTCCACTCACCCACATGGTCCTGCTCCCATCACAGACACTAATTCCACTCACCCACACGGTACTGCTCCGATCACAGACACTAATTCCACTCACCCACATGGTCCTGCTCCAGTCCCTGACACTAATTCCACTCGACCCACATGGTCCTGCTCCAGTCCCAGACACTAATTCCACTCACCCACATGGTCGTCCTCCAATCACAGACCTAATTCCACTCACCCACATGGTACTGCACCGAGCACAGACAATAATTCCACTAACCCACATGGTCCTGCTCCAGTCCGAGGGACTAATTCCACTCATCCACATGGTCCTGCTCCGTTCACAGACACTAATTCTACCTACTCACCCACTTGGCCCTGCTCCAGTCCCTGACACTACTTTCACTCACCCACATGGTCCTGCTCCAGTCACAGACACTAATTCCACTCACCCACATGGTCCTGCTCCGATCACAGACACTAATTCCACTCACCCACACGGTACTGCTCCGATCACAGACACTAATTCCACTCACCCACATGGTCCTGCTCCATCACAGACACTAATTCCACTCACCCACATGGTACTGCCCCGATCACAGACACTAATTCCACTCACCCACATGGTCCTGCTCCAGTCCCAGACACTAATTCCACTCACCCACATGGTACTGCTCCGATCACAGACACTAATTCCACTCACCCACATGGTCCTGCTCCAGTCCCAGACACTAATTCCACTCACCCACATGGTCCTGCTCCGATCACAGACACTAATTCCACTCACCCACATGGTCCTGCTCCCAGTCCCAGACACTAATTCCACTCACCCACATGGTCCTGCTCCGATCACAGACACTCATTTGACACACTCACCCACATGGTCCTGCTCCAGTCCCTCACACCTAATTCCCAGACACTCACACCCACATGGTACTGCTCCGATCACAGACACTAATTCCACTCACCCACATGGTCCTGCTCCTGTCCCAGACACTAATTCCACTCACCCACATGGTCCTGCTCCAGTCCCAGACACTAATTCCACTCACCCACATGGTCCTGCTCCGATCACAGACACTAATTCCACTCACCCACACGGTCCTGCTCCAGTCCCTGACACTCATTCCACTCACAGGCACTGTCCTGCTCAACACACTCAAGCGATCAAACTTCGCTCACTCAAACTGTCCATCCCCATCCCTCCTTCAGGCGGTTGCTCTACTTACCAACTGAGTATAGCTTGCCATTCAGCACCCCGATCTGGAAGCTCTCCCTGCGATACTTCATGCTGGCTATCTGGAGCCAGGTTCCGTGGCGGGGATCAAACCTGTAAGCTGTGTTGAGTGGGGAACAATGGTCGTTTCTCTTCTCCCCTCCGACTACATAAAGGAAGCCATTGAGTACCGCCACTGTAACATAAAATACAACATTCTGAAATCAGAATTTGGATTTGGACCACATGTTTCTCTGTTTAATAATCATAAAGTACCATCTCGATAGCCTAAGCATATACATCTATATGTCATGTATGTTTGACATTTCTTAGAACTTAGTGCACCTACACGACTTGCGTAGTCACTACAACCTACAACTATTATCCAAGGACGCCACGTAGAATAATTGTTTGAGGGCTTGTTGCTACTGCGCTGTTTCAATCAAATTTCCAATCGAACAGTACCGGGATGCGATGTTTCCAATCGAACAGTACCGGGATGCGAACATGTTGGTGACTGTAAAACTGTTTTGAAACTTTAAGGATGCTCAGTGTAATTCCATAGACGTTAGGCGAAGAGGCGGAGAGAGGCGGAGAGGCGTTATTTTGACAAGTAATTTCTAAATTTCGAACTTTGTGTCAGTCGCGGACACACTGTTAGATAACACTGGTCAAAGGGTATCCACGGATGTAACTCTTTCCATAACACACGGAATTGTCCACCCGTGAAATAAATGCTATTGCTATAGATGCCAAGCGCTCAGTCCAACTCAACTGGTCCTTCTCGTGTAATGGTAGTATGTTGATGACGCATCACACCACCAATTGCATTACTCTACGATGAACTAAGGATGTCAGGCTAAACAATAATGTCAAAGGACATCCGGCTGAATCTATCCAAGATATACAATTTGTCTATGAAAAGACCTGCACAGTTTTACTTATATCGGCGATTTTATTGACAGCGTTCCTTATTTCCATTATGTGAGTTACACAGTTGATGAACATTTAATATCCGCTGATTATTCCATAAAAATGGCGATGCATCTTGTGTGTAAGTAAATATACCCACTCCGATCTATCTATACTGCCCACGCCGACACTCGGGAGTATATAAGCATCTGCTAATCACGTTGATTACTTGGGGGTATCGTTTCTGCAGGCTTACCAAACTCGAAGGAAGGATTATCACTGAATGTGTACAACAGACATATAGAGAGCAGATATGTATCGGAGAACAGCCGCCGAGAACATTAACAGTGACATAATCACACAGTCACACAGTCATATTACCATGCGGACATACCCGTGAAGGTCCAGGTTAGAATATTGATCTTCAGTAACCCATTCAGGCGATTAACGGGATCGGGTGGTCAGGCTCGCTGACTTTGTTGACACATGTCATCGGTTCCCTTTTGCGCAGATCGATGCTCATGCCGCTGATCACTGGATTGATTATTTACAGAACGCCGCCATATAGCTGGAATATTGCTGAGTGAGAAGTAAAACTAAACTCACTCACTCACCATGCAGACAGATGATACAACTGCATTAACAGTGATACAGTTACAAACCACGAGGAGAGTCGATGTGGCTTCATTAACAGTGATACATTACTAACAGGACAGAAGATGTGAATACATTAACAGTGACACCGTCACATAACCAAGATGACTGGTAAAGTGAATACATTAACAGTGACACTGTCATATAACCAAGATGACGGGTAAAGTGAATACATTAACAGTGACACTGTCATATAACCAAATGACGGGTAAAGTGAATACATTAACAGTGACACTGTCATATAACCAAATGACGGGTAAAGTGAATACATTAACAGTGACACCGTCACATAACCAAGATGACTGGTAAAGTGAATACATTAACAGTGACACCGTCACATAACCAAGATGACTGGTAAAGTGAATACATTAACAGTGACACCGTCACATAACCAAGATGACTGGTAAAGTGGATACATTAACGGTGACACCGTCACATAACCAAGATGACTGGTAAAGTGAATACATTAACAGTGACACCGTCACATAACCAAGATGACTGGTAAAAGTGAATACATTAACAGTGACACCGTCATATAACCAAGATGACTGGTAAAGTGAATACATTAACAGTGACACCGTCACATAACCAAGATGCCTGGTAAAGTGAATACATTAACGGTGACACCGTCACATAACCAAGATGACTGGTAAACAGTGACACCGTCACATAACCAAGATGACTGGAATACATTAACAGTGACACCGTCACATAACCAAGATGACTGGTAAAGTGAATACATTAACAGTGACACCGTCACATAACCAAGATGACTGGTAAAGTGAATACATTAACGGTGACACCGTCACATAACCAAGATGACTGGTAAAGTGAATACATTAACAGTGACACCGTCACATAACCAAGATGACTGGTAAAGTGAATACATTAACAGTGACACCGTCACATAACCAAGATGACTGGTAAAGTGAATACATTAACAGTGACACCGTCACATAACCAAGATGACTGGTAAAGTGAATACATTAACGGTGACACCGTCACATAACCAAGATGACTGGTAAAGTGAATACATTAACAGTGACACCGTCACATAACCAAGATGACTGGTAAAGTGAATACATTAACAGTGACACCGTCACATAACCAAGATGACTGGTAAAGTGAATACATTAACAGTGACACCGTCACATAACCAAGATGACTGGTAAAGTGGATACATTAACGGTGACACCGTCACATAACCAAGATGACTGGTAAAGTGAATACATTAACGGTGACACCGTCACATAACCAAGATGACTGGTAAAAGTGGAATGCATTAACAGTGACACCGTACCCACATAACCAAGATGACTGGTAAAGTGAATACATTAACAGTGACACCGTCACATAACCAAGATGACTGGTAAAGTGAATACATTAACAGTGACACCGTCACATAACCAAGATGACTGGTGCGAATACATTAAAGTGAATACATATTGAAAAGTGACACCGTCATCACATAACCAAGATGACTGGTAAAGTGAATACATTAACAGTGACACCGTCACATAACCAAGATGACTGGTAAAGTGAATACATTAACAGTGACACCGTCACATAACCAAGATGACTGGTAAAGTGAATACATTAACAGTGACACCGTCACATAACCAAGATGACTGGTAAAGTGAATACATTAACAGTGACACCGTCACATAACCAAGATGACTGGTAAAGTGAATACATTAACAGTGACACCGTCACATAACCAAGATGACAGGTAAAGTGAATACATTAACAGTGACACCGTCACATAACCAAGATGACTGGTAAAGTGAATACATTAACAGTGACACCGTCACATAACCAAGATGACTGGTAAAGTGAATACATTAACAGTGACACCGTCATATAACCAAGATGACAGGTAAAGTGAATACATTAACATTAACAGTGACACCGTCACATAACCAAGATGACTGGTAAAGTGAATACATTAACAGTGACACCGTCACATAACCAAGATGACTGGTAAAGTGAATACATTAACAGTGACACCGTCCATATAACCAAGATGACTGGTAAAGTGAATACATTAACAGTGACACCGTCACATAACCAAGATGACTGGTAAAGTGAATACATTAACGGTGACACCGTCACATAACCAAGATGACTGGTAAAGTGAATACATTAACGGTGACACCGTCATATAACCAAGATGACTGGTAAAGTGAATACATTAACAGTGACACCGTCACATAACCAAGATGACTGGTAAAGTGAATACATTAACGGTGACACCGTCACATAACCAAGATGACTGGTAAAGTGAATACATTAACAGTGACACCGTCACATAACCAAGATGACTGGTAAAGTGAATACATTAACGGTGACACCGTCACATAACCAAGATGACTGGTAAAGTGAATACATTAACAGTGACACCGTCACATAACCAAGATGACTGGTAAAGTGAATACATTAACAGTGACACCGTCACATAACCAAGATGACTGGTAAAGTGAATACATTAACAGTGACACCGTCACATAACCAAGATGACTGGTAAAGTGAAATACATTAACAGTGACACCGTCACATAACCAAGATGACTGGGTAAAGTGAATACATTAACAGTGACACCGTCATATAACCAAGATGACTGGTAAAGTGGATACATTAACGGTGACACCGTCACATAACCAAGATGACTGGTAAAGTGAATACATTAACGGTGACACCGTCACATAACCAAGATGACTGGTAAAGTGAATACATTAACAGTGACACCGTCACATAACCAAGATGACTGGTAAAGTGAATACATTAACAGTGACACCGTCACATAACCAAGATGACTGGTAAAGTGAATACATTAACAGTGACACCGTCACATAACCAAGATGACTGGTAAAGTGAATACATTAACAGTGACACCGTCACATAACCAAGATGACTGGTAAAGTGAATACATTAACAGTGACACCGTCACATAACCAAGATGACTGGTAAAGTGAATACATTAACAGTGACACCGTCACATAACCAAGATGACTGGTAAAGTGAATACATTAACAGTGACACCGTCACATAACCAAGATGACTGGTAAAGTGAATACATTAACAGTGACACCGTCACATAACCAAGATGACAGGTAAAGTGAATACATTAACAGTGACACCGTCACATAACCAAGATGACTGGTAAAGTGAATACATTAACAGTGACACCGTCACATAACCAAGATGACTGGTAAAGTGAATACATTAACAGTGACACCGTCATATAACCAAGATGACTGGTAAAGTGAATACATTAACAGTGACACCGTCACATAACCAAGATGACTGGTAAAGTGAATACATTAACAGTGACACCGTCACATAACCAAGATGACTGGTAAAGTGAATACATTAACAGTGACACCGTCATATAACCAAGATGACTGGTAAAGTGAATACATTAACAGTGACACCGTCACATAACCAAGATGACTGGTAAAGTGAATACATTAACAGTGACACCGTCACATAACCAAGATGACTGGTAAAGTGAATACATTAACAGTGACACCGTCACATAACCAAGATGACTGGTAAAGTGAATACATTAACAGTGACACCGTCACATAACCAAGATGACTGGTAAAGTGAATACATTAACAGTGACACCGT